GGGGGCCTCCGCCTACCTGCCGCTCCTCGGGCTAAAGTTGCCAGGCTCTCTGACCAAAAAAGAGCCCCTCGAAGCCACCTCCCCCATGCGAAAAGGTGGGTGCTCGGAGAGGGGGCTGGAGAACACATGCGCCGGGAACCGAATAGAGCTCGCACCGACTTCCCAACAAGGAGGGCGCAGGGTCGGGCCCAGCCACACAAGGGCCGACCTCGGCAGGGACGCGACGCCTCCAGCTAGCGAGTTTCTCTCGACCCCTGCGGTGTGTGTCGCCCCCTCCAACGCGCGGGCACAATTCGAACGGCCTACCCTCCGCAGCGGAGGGACCACAAGGCGCGGTTGCACAATCGGACCCATTAGAAAGCGCGGGAGTTTCGGCGTGATCGGCTGTGTTGGTGGAAGTAAGTGGTCATGTGGGATGGAATGTCATTGTAGACTATTCGATCCCCTCCAATAGCCTCATCGGTTTGCTGCGCCCAGGACGAGACACGGGTCGAAGTTTGGACATTCCCCGGTCGCGCTCACGCGCGGATGGTGAAAATACGCTCGACCCTACCGAATGCATTAGACCCTAGCTATAACCCCCTGAACGAAAAGGCAGCTGGAATGCTCGCTTGGGTGTCTCTCCCTCTCACTCGAAGGGGCGAAGAGGGGCGGTGGGGAGAGGGGTGGCCTTGTGCTGCACCCCTGTCCTGCCCCCCCCCCCCCTTTCTCCGTGTCCCGTCCTCGTTCCAGGCCTGGCCGCTGGTTTGAAAGGAGGCACATTTGGGCGGGTTCTGTGCGCCCTGTTTACACAAGTACTGGCCTTCTCCGGCGGGGGGGGGGGGGGGGAGCGGAAGGGGGCCGGAGCCAGTCTACGCAACGAGAGGAAGCCTCTCCAGCCCCCGAGTGGGTGAGGAGCCCCTATTCAAACGGACAAGGGTCCAGAAGACGCCGAGACGCACTTTGTCTGCGCCTCCGTGTACCCTGTGCTCTTTGCCTGGCATCGAGACACCGATCCCACATAATTAGGATCATTATTTATTATCCCAAATACACACCTCCCCGCACACAAGAAGAGCTCAACACATAGAGATATGCTCGACTGTGGATCCCCCCAAGCCAAATATATCGGCGCTCCCCCCTTCCGGGGGCGGGGGGACCCAAGCAAAGGGGGTTGGAGTACGGGCGCTGTTGCCTCGGCTCCTCGACAGCAGGGGCCGGCTTCCGCCCGACAACTCCTCTGGTGATCAGTTTGCCGAAAGGGGGGACGAGGCAGGGAGGGCAAGAGAAAGAGAGAGAGGGAGGGAGAGAGCGCGGAAAAGCGAGCGGGAGAGAGCGAGAGAGGGCGAGAAAGACTGGGGGCAGCAG